CTTAGATAGAAAACTTTGAATCAATTTGACTGTATTATCTGGTTGAATTGTAAAATGCCTTGAGATGACATGTGTTGTGAATTGGCACCACATAAATAAACTGAATTGAATTGGGGGGAGCTACCCTCTCCATTATTTTCCTGCATTTTATACAATAAAGGATGAAATCGAAAGAGTGTCTTGGTATATTTTAATTAGCAAAGCTAGAGAACGCCGTTGTTGGGCATCTGGATTCACCAGATATTTTAGATGCGTCTGATTCTTCTGCTGCTCCTGTGTTTAATGGCAGACAGCAGCTTTGCTATATTTGCTGTGATCAGTGGGTAAAAAGTATTTTTAATATGTTTTAAGGTAGAAAGTCCACCTGAAACATCATCTGTGCAGTCAGTTAATCCAGATAACCATCCTGCCTTCAAATATTATTTCTCTGTCTGAGCCGCTCAGACCCCAGAAATACCAGCGGTGCGCTGTCACTGGGAATCCCCAGCAGCTGCTGCCTCAGGGCTGGTCGCCTCTTGGGGGTTTTTCCCTACTGTTAGTGGAAGCTGGAAGTAGATGTTAGCATTTTTCAAGTATGCTGTACAAACTGTAGGCACCAGGTTAATAAAAGCGAACATATTTTACCGGCAGGTTTCGACACTTTAATTTAATTTAGACGTCAATAACGGGTTTCAGAGGAGTGATCATAGCGATCTGCATCAGCAGCGCTGTCTGTCTCCCTGCCCACTCCCAAATCAGCTTCTCTTATTGGTTGATGTGGTGCATCGAGCAACAAAAGTTAAATTTTTCCAACTCCAGCAGCTGCTACTTGTGGAGCACGTCACGCGCCTGAGATGCTTAGAAGCGTATAAGAATGCTCATGCTGCTCTAGACGCGCTCTAGACACCTTTTGATGCACCTTGATATGCATCAACCATTGACTTTGCATGCAAACCAGCTGCTTCTGCTGCTTAAAACATGTCCGGTGTGAACGTAGGATGAGATTTACTCCGATCTAGTGGTGCTCCATGTAAATTACAAAGGGGAGGTGGGCAGCATATTGTTTAGACATAAATGTTATCTAAAACATGTTTTAGTTTTAGAAAGGTAGCATAATCAAATCATAATGATATACAGATCTTACTCCGATCTGTCCTTTCTGACTTTAGGGAAGACCAACAAGAAATTCAATGCAACCATTATACTTTGAAACTGGTTACTGTGGATTGGTGGAAAGTGGTCAGTCCTACATTTTACTCTGCATTTCTGTTTATTCTGACATCATCGTTCCTTTAGATCCACTGCGAGTGACGCTCTCTCCAAAGAACATGAAAACCGGCATCAGCAGCACACTGTTCTTCACCTGCACCGTGGAGGGTTCTCCAGAATACACCATCACCTGGTTCAGGAATACCGAACTCATTGTTCCCGACCAGCACATTTCCATGCAGGGACAACACAACGACACGCTTCAGATCGTGGCAGCACAGAAGTTTCACTCCGGAGCATACCAGTGCTTCGCTTCCAGAAAAGGCCACACAGCTCAGGATTTTTCCATAATTCTCTTAGAGGGTAAGTGGACAAAGTCTGCTGGGAAGCTCACTAAATGGAGAATGTTTTTTGCAGAACGAATTAATAAAAGGTCTGGTTTTAATCATGGCTTCTTTTGGCTCCTTTCCTTTTCAATCCCCCAGACGGTACTCCTCGTATTGTGTCTTCCTTCAGCGAGCGGGTGGTTAACCCGGGTGAGCCTTTCTCCCTCATGTGTGCCGCCAAAGGAGCCCCGCCGCCCTCAATCACTTGGACTTTGGATGAGGAGGCCGTGGTTCGAGATTCCACGTACAAGACCAGCCAATACACCCTGTCAGACGGCCTGACCGTGTCTCACGTCAACGTCAGCAGCCCGCTTATTCGACATGGGGGAGTGTATCGTTGCGTCGCACGCAACTCGGCCGGTAGCGCCGAGTACCAAGCGCGCATAAACGTAAGAGGTGCCTGTCTGCTTTTCAATATAAATGCACTCACACCTGACTCTATACAAACATGTAGGGCTTAGTCCAGAACAAACTATC